ATTTCCTCCAAGTAATGGAATTTAGTTTAATTCCATTAATAAAGATTCATCGACGCACATATGAGATGTTGCCCCACTTTGTCTATTTTCCGCAGCATTTTCATTGCATCCATTTGCCCTATCAGTTTTTTCACAAACCGTTTTTGTAGAATGATTGGATTCATTAAGTTTGACTCTGCAATCCTTCGCTTTATGGCTTTTTTTACCACATCTATGACAATTAAATGGAAATCGTTTGTCTGGCATACCTGAATGAGATCTAGAATTTGTCTTCTTTTTTGAATTGAAGCTCTCTTTGAAAACGAATTTCTTTAAACTTTTCCGATAAACCATCCAGCAAAATTACAGACAAAAACTTTCATCAATTTTAACATCCATTTCCAACAGACACGAAACACATATGTCATATTCAATGAGATACTCGGACAGACTTTGAACAGGGGTCATTTTCAAATTAAGCAACTTTCGAAACATTTTGGTTTTACGTCTGGTTGACTTTCTGTCGTATGTTTCTTGAAAATACAGTATTTTTCCGTTAATTAACCCTACGGTTAATTGGTTTCCACGCTTAATTGAACCACATGATTGGACATATTGCATAGGAAAATACATGTAAATGTTCTCGGATAATTGTTCTAATTAATTGATTTTCCCGCTAATTGGTTCAAAATTCATGTCATCAAAAATAAAATTCCTTTTACTTTTCACCGGTTAATTGCATAATAATAATTGAAAAATAATCATATGGCATTTTTTTACATACATATTTGATTCTGAAAAATACTAGGTGGCATCTCTACTAATTCAAAACATATGTTTATTGCTAAGGAAAAACAGAAAGCGTAATTTGTAGTAGTTCCAATTATACGTGATTACTGTAATTGAACAAACTATTCAATTAAGTGGGTTCATAATTGGTTCCTCGGTTAATTGAACCATAATTTGTGCAAATACTGTATTTCCAAATTCCCCGAGCAGTTTTAAAATTTCTTACCATTCTTACTATATTTGATTCCAGCTATATAATAATTTCAGATTCATCATAGGCTATCTGTTCTTCCAATTTCTTTCTGTGTTCACTTCGTTGCGCAGTTGTTGCGGGTTCTGGTAAATCTGGAACAATCGGCCTGTTTTCTTCTCCAATTACATATTACAATAATCTTGCTTTTTGAAGAACTGCTTCCATTTGGGTTTTCCATGTAGCATAATTTGACCCATTGAACAATGGAATTCGTCCATTAAAGCTGGCCATTTCGATTTTCTTTCTATTTGGTACAATATTTCTTCGCAATGGTTACGGATTAAGGCCAATAACCTGTTAAAAAGTAGAAGTACTCCCAGGATAGTTTTTTATAAAAGAACAGCAACGTTTATTATTAAGAGTTGAAAACAGACTGTGAAAAATTTTCAATACCAAAAAATATCTACACCTATTTTAATGACAATACATATTTATAAAAGTCATATACACTTAAATGAATTTCAACAAGTAGAAATTGTTTATGTTGCTTCAGATATATTCATAAATATTAACAAGTCTATTGTTAGATTTTTTTAGTTATGTGATCAGTATTTACTACAGATTTATGCACAGAGAAAGAACGTGGGTTTGGTATTTGATTTTTCACCTACTTTTTTAATAGACGTGAGTAGAAAACCTTATTTTATCCAAAGTTTGTAAATTTTTTTAGGTAAGCCAGCTTGATCCCTTTATTGTTGTTTTAAATAAAAAAACAAGATTTTTATTTTTAAAGTGGGTTATGGTCACATTGATTACTTTTTAACAATGTATTTATATTTGGAAAAATATTTTCGTCACATACTACAATCGCATCAAGTGGAGTAAATACGATTAGGTCGTGGATCCTTCGCTTTTCACATAGTGATCCCAAGATCCACTTTCAGATATTTTTCATAAAATTGTATGATTTCTTTAAAATCTTAACATTAAAATTCTCGAACACACTCTTTCAGTTATTTTTACAATTAGTTCGTTCAAACATGGTACAAATAATGTAATTCTATAAAATATTCGAAGTTCGAACTCATTACATTTGACCTGAAACTTCTACCTCTTAGAAATAAAACCAAATTAAATCTTACCATTTCCCCCATTTCTTCCAACGATTCCACTATCTCTTCTATATTTGTACGCAATCATGCTGCTCAATCTATCGTGTTTCACAATATAAAGTAATCAATTGATAGATTTATTTGCTTCGCGAAATATTCTACATAAAGTAGCAGAACTTTTTGGATTTTCTTAAGAATGACCATATATAGGACTACAAAATACCGTAGTGGAAAAATACAATTAAAACCCCCAAAATACTGAAAATTAGGAGGTTTCTCCAAACCGTTTTTGTGGAGTCATTTAGTATAGCCAATATATAGCAACCCAATGCACCAAATTTCAGCGAATTTGGTTGAAAAACGCGTTCAAGAACCGCAAAATTCCGAAAATTGGGGAGTACCGTTATATGGGAGCTATGCCTAAACGTGGACCGATATATATGCCATCTTCGAACTTGACCAAAGACAAAAATCAATCTACACACCAATATCGACCATTTTTGTACCATTTAGTACCTTTGTTCTCTTATAGTACGTATTTCCAATACTACCACCATATTTCAACACTACACACCAATTCTGGCCGCAATAGAAATCGAGCTCTATATTAAAATTGGTATCGTTTTTTACATTTTGTACTTTTTTAGTACTTAATTCCAAAACTAATTACATGTTTCATGAATCGGGTTCTATAGGTAATATAAATTTCCATTTCTATCTACCTCAACAATCCAATAGAAATCACATTTCCAAATTCCTGTTCCCTCAATTCCAGTTCACTCAATTTCAAATTTAGTACACATAAATACTAATTTCAAAATGTCCTGCATATCCCTAACCTACATTCCAACAGTAATCTTAATTCCAATTTTCAAGATTTCAGCTTCATCCGATCAATCCAAATTATATAAATTTAGTATCATTTAGAACACATAAGTAAAAATTTCTATAACAAAAATGTTCATTTTTCTCCGGTATCTCCTCCATAAACTGTTATAATTTTTAAAAATTATAAAGTTAATAAAATATTAGATTGTGGAAAAAGAAAGCCTTTATTATTATTTTTTATAAATTTTATTATTTGTTGTATTTTAAAACAAATGCGAACATGCTTTGGCGTTACGTCAATTTCGATCACTTCTTTTTCGAGGACCGGCTTACCTGTGCGAGGTGCATCTTTACCATAAAAATGCCTTAACGGAATCTACGAAACCAAAATTGTACATAATTGGCTGTTACAGTATCGGAACCGAAATTTTCTCTTTGTTCACTTTAATTTTTAACATCCTGTAACTCACAACTGAATGCACTAAACAAAATCAGCAAATTAATTTTTTTACTGCGAAAGTCACCTTCCAATGAGCATAAATCTGAAATTGTTCGATCGATACTTTACGAGAAATCTATGGTAATATGTTCCACCTCAACAATAAGCCTATGGTGTATGGTGTGTGTGAGTGTCAATATTAGTCGGCAACACCGACTGACTGTGTTCGTATTTGCTGCGTTTCAGTTCAGTTTTTCATATTTATTTTATGTTTTCTCAAATGTAACTGAATGTTTTACCAATTTTTTTGTTTTCATTGTCAGCGCCATCTGTATTCAAAATACTAAACTAAGTCTTTGCCAACCTTATTTTATAACGTAAGCTTACATTGTTGTGAGCTTTTAAATATTGGGTTCGAATACATGCTTAAATTTAGTCTCCCTCCCACCTCATTCGTAAACAATTCAGCTCCATTTTAGTCTTCTTCGCACCTTATTCGTAAACAATTCAGCTCCCCTTCAGTCATCAACCCACATCATTCGTAAATTTTATAATTTCTGTAACTGTGATTCCTTTATTTCTTTTATTACTTTTTTAAAAAAAAGTTATAAAAATTCGCAAATGAGTTACAAATTCTGCTGAATACTCACATTTCTCTCCCATTTGCCTTTATCAATTTTGATTGCCAACGTCATCGCTTTCAATTAGACGAGTAAGCAAAGTGCAACAGCTGGTTGGTCGCTGAGTTGTTAGCGGTGTTTTACACTGTTCGTCATGGGCATTCGTCTTGAGAGTTTTTTGCTCTCTCATTGATAATTGGGACTAGAGTTGGAAAACATTGCCATAGGTAGGATCAAAAAAGTACGAACAGGTACCTAAAATTTTTCTTCAAATGATAATAAATCATAATTATCAACAAAAATTGACCAATATGGTTTTGACAGAAGTTGTCCGGCTAATAGAGAAAAACTGTGTAAAATTTGAATTGTTTCCAAATTAACAGAGGAGAAAAAGGGGAAGAATACAATTTTTTATTCGAAAACAAAGTTCCCGGGTGTTGTCGGTTGTATAAAGGGCATACACGTATATATCATGGGCCCAAAAGAATATGTTCGCCATTTTGTTGTAATTTTAACCATTATTCCAACCAAATTTCACATCTTATTGCTAAACAGCAACCAAAAATAAATGGTTGCCGAAAAATTCTATTTGAAGCAAATGAAGTTGACAACAATTGTCATCCATAATTCAAATTTGGCAACTGGCAACGCCACTAAATTGTGGTTACCAGCCGTAATCGACCTATTAATTTAAGCGTAAATGTAATAACGAATAATAACAATAACTACTTTTTATTTTGGTACATTTATGTAAATTCGTACCTATTGTAAACAAAAAGTACGCTTGTTACCAAATTAAAAATAGCGCAACTCTAATTACTCTTAATTTACCAAAGAGAGTGAGAGAAAAAAAATCTCATGACGAATGCCCATGACCAACAGTGTAAAACCCCACATAAACAAAAAAGTGCATTTCATTGCCGGTCCAGCACAAAGCATAGATTGCATTTTTCAATACTTTGGTTCATTTCGAAGACTTTCCAAAGCTGTGATTAGATTTTATTACATTCCTAAATAAATTCCAAGTCCGCTGACCGAAATATGAATATTATTGTTGTAAAAAATGAAGCGGCTGTCATTGAGAGGTTAAAGAAAGAAATCGAAGATAGAGCTGAGGAGGCTGTCAAAACAAGAGGTGTATTTCGAGTGGGACTTTCGGGTAAGTTCATGTAAATATAATGACCTTGAAATAATCGTAAAATAATTTGTGTGTCATAGCTTTACTTATAGTTCATAGCCGGCTTATTAATACGAGGTCTAGAAGTAGATAGCATATGCTGGTTGTTGACTTTTTATACCCTTCACCATAAGGTGTAGTGTATTTTAAATTTGCCATTCCATTTGCCGCACTTCGAAATATCCACCGGGGACCCCCATAAAGTATATAAATTTATCCTTGATCAGAATAAGATTTTTGCCGATTTATGCATGTCCGTCTACTGAAATCACGATAGAGATCGCAATATTTAAGGTAGAGCTTTGAAATTTTGCACTGACATTGCTATTAATGGTTGGTATGGCAAATTGGGTATATGGCCCCAATTTTAGCATAGCCCCATATAACAGTACCTCCAAATATTCGTAATATGGGGATTTTTCACATGTTCTTCAGTCGATTTGTCTGCAATTTGCTACGTTTGGCTATCAAATCATCCCACCGAAAATTATCAATATTGGTCCAATTTTTAGGGTAGCCCCCATATGGTTGTGGAATGGTAATAAATCTTCCTACTAACCTTTTAGAGATGCCTCATATAACGCTACACCCCAAAGATCGGTATTTTGGGGAGCTTGGGCAAGTGTTTTCGGATAGGCCCCATAACCGCCATTATTCGGTAACCTCCATTATTCGGTGTGTTGGCTATTATGGCCACGATTTTAACCGAATTGATTCTATTTTGATTTGTTAAGTTCTCATGCGGTGTCAAATCTTCCAACTAAACATGATATTAATTCTTTTTTTTTTAGTTATTTAAGGGATTTGGGTATATTTTTCAATGGAATTCGATTTAATTTATTTTTTCAAATTCTTATGATATGTAAAATTTTCCTACAAAAAAAAAAAAAAAAAAATATATATATATATATATATATATATATTAATGTACCGTATTTTCCAACCGATGGGGCTGTAATTTGTATAATGGGTTCTGAAAAAGCTATATGCACATTTGTGTGATGTATATATAGGTTCATGATTTGTTATAACCCCACATAAAACTACCGTTTTCTGGGTACTAATTAATGTATAACCGAATTTTCTCAGGGAAATTTGGCATATCGATTTATTCCTGGTGAATAAAAATTAAATCTGAGGAAGTCCCATTTAAGTTTTCCAACTAGAGTGTCTGTAATTTGGAACAATATTTTTACGGAGCACGAACAACCTACTATCACATAACTCCATAACATAGTCCCCATATAAATGTCCCGATCGTCTTAGGAAATTTTGAATGCAGGTTTCGGTTTCGGCAGGGTATTAAAATTTTGAAAATAACACCATTTCTGTCATTCCCTTTAAAGCGTCTCAAAATGTTTGTTGTAGCCTCAAAAACTACAGATCTTATTGATCAGATTAAAATTATATGGCGATATGAACGTACATTGCTACTACACGTAGGAAGCTTGATATTGAAATCTGTATATATCGGCACAAGATCTTGTATAGGCTCATGTTGGATATTCTCATAGTCTCAGACGCTTTTTAATATTAATTTATTTTATACAAGTATACTTATCATATAAAAAATACAATTCCATATAATCTCCTATTCTTACAGGTGGTTCATTGGTCAACTACTTAAGCACTGCCATACAATCGATGAAAGTCGATTTGAGTAAATGGCAATTGTTCTTTTGTGATGAACGTTTTGTTGCGGAAAATGATAACGACTCCACCTATGGGGTTTACAAATCGACACTGATACCCAAAACTTCCCTTAAAGAAGAACAATTTATATGGATTAATTTGAATGGTACAGTGGAAGAATGTGCTCAGGACTATGAAAAGAAAATTCTTCAAGAATTTGATATGGAAGCATCTGTAGTACCTCGCTTTGATCTGTTGCTATTGGGTATGGGTCCCGATGGTCATACATGTTCGTTGTTTCCGGGGCACAAATTATTGGAGGAAAATCATAAACTAATTGCAGCCATTGAAGATTCACCAAAACCACCACCTAAACGTGTAACTATGACATTACCACTTATCAACAATGCTTCGTGTTGCCTTTTTGCAATGTGTGGCGAAGGAAAGGCGGAGATGGTGAAGGTACGTTGGGGGTTTCTTTTATAAGTTGATAGATATATTTCAATTGTATTTGCTTTTTTATTTTTCAGAGAGTTTTTGTTGACAAGGAACCTTTACCAGCGGGTCTGGTACAACCTACCAATGGTGATCTCATTTGCATTTTAGACGAAGCCGCCGGAAAATATGTAAAATAGATTTTATTGTCAAATATCAAATTTATTAAGAGTAACATGATTTTTTATACGTACATATATGTTTATTTTCGAAATTGATTTACACTAAAAATCTAAGATTTGTTTAAAGTACATAATTACTTTATGTTATATAATTATTTAACATATTCTGTGGGTATATTTAGAGAAGGAGTGGATGGAACAAATCATGAACTTAAATAATTTATGGCAATCCAGATCGAAAAATAAAAATAGTTCTCGATGCCTGTAAAATGGGCATGGTTGTACCGCTAGTAAAGCCAGCAAAGGTGAATCATACTCTTGAGACATTGCTACTCATTGGCTGTTCAATTGCTGTTCATCAACACGGATTCCGGAAATAGCTTAGCACACCAACAGTTTTGCACGCCATTTTCACACATAGAACGGAAGGACTCAACCAGAACAGATCGTGTAGTAGGACAGTTATGGTGGCTCTGGACCTATTAAAGGCATTTTATACAGTCAGTTAGAGGAAGTTGTTCGAGAACGTGAAACGAACAGCCATCCAGCCATGTTTGAAACTTTGGATCGTAAATTCTATGTGTGAACGCCAGTCGTACGTGGAATTCAGAAATAAGAAGTCGAAGGCCCGTAGAGTTGAACAGGGAGTTCTCCAAGGAGGGGTGATATCCAACTATTTCTCCTCCCTTCCATTCTCTTTTTCTTTTCTTTTCAGACATCAAGGATGATCACAATGGAAATTGTCTCTGAGTGAACGGCTGTAAATTAGTAACCGTACATCCCCAACCTTACCTAACCTAGGGTTGATATCTCTGGGACTGTTATCCTCTACCTTTCTGAAATTCCACAACCACCTTATGGCATAAAGATCGTTACGTACACGGATCATGGCGTCAGGACCGAAAATTTATGACATTTGTGTGAGGCTGAATAGATTTTGGTGGATATAGCTGATTTTTTTCGAGAGAAGAATGTGGAAAGTTGACGAAGAAACGTTCTTAACAACATACACAGCACACAGGTACAAAATATTCATTCCTGCCAGAATGCCGCCCTGGGGACTGCAACAGGTTGTCTCTTCATGATCCCAATATGCCACTTACATGAGGAGAAAAAGATCCTTACTTCCACAAAACGATGTTGTCGATGTAATATCTGCTTGGGTGTAATAGAAGTAGCCATCCAAACCATCCCCCTTTGGATAGGCACCCACCAGCCATGACAAGAAGGATCTTCTGGAGAGAGGATTGAAATGTATTCACAGTTGAGAAATCAATTCGAGAATACAGGGTGTATAAAATCATCGCAATATGCCACTTACAGCAGCAGAACAGCAGTAACTTCCACAAAACGATGTTGTCGATGTAATATCTGCTTGGGTGTAATAGAAGTAGCCATCCAAACCATATCTGCCTGGCATGTCCACATGACACGCAACACCTCTTCAACTGCACAACCAAACCCACTCATCTGACCCCTCTTCACTTTGGCCACAACCGACACAGGTCGCAGCTTTTTTTGAACCTGGAGTTAAAGGCAGAACCAGATTAAAGGGAAAATGCACTGCAGCAGAAACTGCTAAAACTACAACCGAAGAACTATATTTGTCATTTTGAATTCTTGAAGTGTGACCAACTTTTTCGCAACAATTTTTAAATATAGTTCTATGCTTTCACATTTTAGCTATTTTGATGGAATTCTACATGCTCACTATTGCTACAGGTGAATAACCTTTAGTGGGGGACGAAGGTCCCCCAGGTAGAGGCAAAAAACAGTTCTTAGTCGTAATTTCAAGAATCCCGAGGGGATCTCCCCCCAAACTTAGTACTAGAACGGCATATATTACGGTAAGCTGGTGGTATTCTATTAAAGGCACATCACTATGAGCTGCTACAACAAGATTTGATGTGCAAAATTTTGCTAAAAATATAAAAAAATTAAAAAAAAAATTGTAAATACTGAATCGAAGGTTTGTAAAGACTTCATTTACAATTATGATACAAAAGAATTTATTTATTATGTTTTTTTATAAATTACATCTTTTCTTAAAAAACTCATTTTGATACATATTTAACACATACATACTTAAATTAATTTATTAAAAAATCACTTTGTTTTTACTTTTTTAAGTACATTTGGCAAGTTGTTTTTTAGAAATTAATCGGTGTGAGTGTGTGTGCGAATGTTAAACTTTTTTGTTTAAAAAATAGTAAACTTAAATTTAATTAAAAAAAAAATATATATATAATAATTCAATTTATAACTATAATTTTTAGTAATACTATTTTGCGGATACTGGCTCAGCCCATAATGTTTTTCTTAATATAACCCCAACAACCCAAATTTTGATTGGCTATGGCTTCATTCGCCAGCTCTTTGTTGTATTGTTCGCGCAGCAGAGGATCTCTTGGACCCCAATCATGTTTGGGTTTAAAGGCATTTCGGAGTTTTTCTGACCACGTTGAGCCGGGAGCACGGATGGCACCTACCACAATCCAAATGGGTAGTTGTAGGACACCAAAGCAAGTGATGGTCCAGCCAATAGCTAAAAGAGAATGTTAAATTAATAAACAAAATATAAAATTGAAGAGCATCTCCCTTACCATATGCCCAATTTGGATACGTCACATTGTTGTAGGTTAAAGGTGTATAGGTGGAGAGGAAATATACCAAAATGGCGGTCATAATCAAAGGAGTGACCACAGCCCAACACCAACGCCAGTAGGGACCAACCTTGCGACCCATCATAAATTCAGCATCACGGCACAGACGATCCACACCATAAACCCAACCCAAGACATATAATTCGGCAATGCCCAATATCAAAGCAATCATGGAAGCTCCAAAGTAATCCACCAAGGTTAAAATGAATTGGCCACCCTGCAAGAACAAAGAAGAAATTAATAAAGAAATATATTCTTAAGTTACCGAGTCGGACACTGCAAATCTTCATATGGAAAAAATTAGTCTCCCCTCTTGTCAATAAACTATATTTTACGATGTATCTGTCTGACCCATTAACATTTGTTAAAAAATGTAGTTACTTACCGGTGTAACATAGGCCAATCCAACACAAAAACTGAATACGGCAATACCCAATGCACACTGCCATTGTTTAATTTTGGGGAAATTATCACGTATGGCGGTGACGGTACACGAAGTCATAGCGATGTTGGAACCAATACCCAACACAAATAACATCAAAAAGAATAGCACCGAGAAAATTTGTGGTAAACTTTGGAATTTGGCAATAGCATCCGGGTATGAAATAAAGGCCAAGCCAGCACCTCCTTTGACCACACTACCAATATCATCGGTACCAATTTCATGTGCCAAATGACCCAAAATACCGAAAATTGTAAAACCAGCCAACAGAGAGGTGCAGGTATCCAATCCGGTTACAATGGTGGCATCACGATGTACATTATGTCCAAATTTATTATACGACGAATACATAATAATATTGCCGAAGCACACTGAGAGCGAATAGAAACATTGGGTTACAGCGGCATACCAGACCTGAAAGAAAAAAAATTAGATTTATTTTGTATTTTTGAAGGCAGTCTCAGAATACATAGAAAAGAGCTAATTATATTGGAGAAGTTTAGGAAATATCGAATTTTCAACACCAAATTTCTTAATGCGGACTATGAAGGTATGTGGGGAAGCAAGAAATATCCTCCTGAGCACTTTATATTCCAACATTTGAAATCCACCATCCATTGCATTTGACGAACTTTATAAGGCTAAATGAATTGACAATGAACTGGGATCTTCATTGTCAATTGACTCAAGGTTCAAAAATGCTGCGACCTGTAAAAATTGTGTTCATAGTGAAGATGTGGTTAGTTGAGTGGATTTGGTTGGGCAGTTGAAGTGGTGTAGTGTGCCATGTGGATCATTACCACATGCTGGGGAGATATTGTCCACCGGCTACATCCATCCAGATCTCAGTTGTGCCAAGATCACTCTGGTTCGTCGTGGTAGATGGTGTTCTCCGAGCATGGCGGGAGTTCACGGAGTATTGTATTCACCCTGTATTCTCGAATTGATTCCACAACAGCATCAGTGTTTGGTCTGTTGATCTAGAGGCTACTTTTTGTACCTCTGGACATCTATCTTCGGATCATGAAGATCCTTTCTGAAATGCCTAGGTGACGGGTGCCTATCCATAAGGTAATGGTTTGGACAGCTACTTATACAACACCCAAGAAGATATTGCATGGACAACACCTTGTTGTGTTGACGCACGGAAAGGATCTTTGTCTCCTCATGTAAGTGCTCTTCATTGTCAGCTCCCCAAGTGCTGCCAGCTAGCGACTTGAGAACCTTGTTCTTGCACCTGATCTTATCGCAAATAGTTGTGACGACTTGTAAAATCTACCGAATTTGGTCCCTAGAACCTATAATATAATAATTAGTAGTCGGGATTTTGGACCAATCGATCTACATATTCAAAGGTAGCAGTATTTCCGCTGTCCATGTGGTAAACAATGTGGACGTTGATTTAGTGGCGGTTTTTATACCCTTCACCGCACTGTGGTACATATGTTTGTAACATGCAAAAGGAAACGATATATACACATGGATCCTTTTGAATCACTTTTTCAGTCGATTTATGCATGTCCGCCCGTCCGTCCGTCTGTCCATGTTAAATTGTAAATAAAATACAGGTCGCATTTATCATCCGAATTGGATGAAATTTGGCATAAGACACTTATTGTCAGTTCTCTAATTCTGGGGTTGGTAGGGCTAGTGCGACGAAGATCATCATGCTCATTTGCCAATCCCGCTGCTTCTGCTGGGAAGTTGGGTCTCAAGTCGGGTATGCGACCCGCAAGTATATATCGGGTCGCAACGACGATTGGTGAAATTTCTGAACTCTTGCCAAGTTGTTTTCCCATGGTTAAGGAAGGTACGGCGTTATGCTCAACTTCACTTCACCATAGAGATTCCTACCGGACCAAGCACCTTGGATGATTTTCCGCTTCTTATGACACTAGCAGCATCTCCAAACGTAAATTGTTGGGTGGTTCCTCCTTTAAATATCGTATTCGGGGTGTTCGGATCTATTACTTCAAAGTTGTTAACTGAGACAACGTCCGATGATCTTTCCTGGACTCGAGAGCGACTTGACCGTTGCCCACAATTAACTCATCCCGGTACTGATATTATAACACTACAGATGTTCTAGCCTCTTTTTCCGCTGATGTTCGCAGACTAACCTGTTCAATTTCGTTGTCAGTTCTCTGATTAAGGGGTTATTACGACGAAGCTCATCACGCTCATTTGATAATCTGCCGCTGCTGGGAAATTGGATATCAATTCGCGTATACGACCAGCAGTACTCTTCACTTCGTCTGTTACTCTCAAGGTGCTCTACAAACTGCCGGTTAAAATAACTCGCGCATCTCCTTGGATTTGTCATTTCAACGTCGTTAAACGAGACAAAAGTCTGATGACCTCTCCATCCTGGGTTCGAGAGCGACTTAACCGTTGCCCACAATTTACTCACTCCGGTACTGATGTTACAACACTTCAGATGTTCTAGCCTCTTTTTCCGCTTGTACACGCCTACTAACCTGTTCAGTTCTATTGCCAGTTCTTTGACTCCTGGCTTTCCCATGGCTAGGAAAGTATGACGTTCAGAAGTTAAGTCGGGTGGTCCATTGATATGGTAATAGGGAGGTGATCCGGACGTTAAGCACCTCTACCTACGTCACTTAACCGCTACCTCGATACATTCCATGTAGGGGTTCCTAGAGTCCTGCTCAAGAGAGATAGGTCTGTTGTGGACAGAATGGTGCACTAGGAATTCTAAACCTCCAACGCATTTGAAATGAAGAATTATCAGGAGTTGTGGCAGCAATTTGGGGTTTAGTGGCTGCGGTGCAGATTGCGGGGGAGTCACGTAATGCGAAGATGACGACAGTGATGCCGTAGACCACGCTAATGAAGACGATTCGAAGCAATGTAGTTCCTTCCGCTATACTCTTGCACCCGGCTTAAATCGGAACAAATCCTAAAATGTATCCATTCTCCGCATTCGTTGCATTTCAACGATATAGATCTATGGTGCTTGTGCGAAAAATCAAAACCATAGCCCGGAGTTTTTCTCAAGAATAATTCGGAGCTATATCTAAATCTGAACCGATTCCAAGAAAAGTTCGCATACATAAATTTAGACCTAATTCATAACTCCTAGATACCTCTTTAGTGAAAAGGGATTATATGTCAGTAATTAATAGCCACGATTTAAGTAGTTCGTTCATGAAAATGTGCAAACCCTAACGTGTGATATATGAACAATCGATTTTCTTAAGATGTTTCTGATATTTTTCTTTAATCATATCAAACTTATACATTTCTTACCTTTGGATCCAGAATTTTACCCCAATCAGGTTTAATAAAGTAAATAATACCATCCAAAGATCCCGGCAAGGTTACAGCTCTAATTAATAGAACAGCCATGATAATATAAGGGAATATGGCCAAGAAGTATGAAGCTTTGCCAGAGCTCTTCACGCCTTTAAATATAATAAGGAAAACACAAAGCCAGGATACGAATAAACCCAATACCAGCTCCCAATTGGGTAGACCAATGCCATCATTTATGTTGGCTTTTTCGCGTAAGACTTCATTGCTAAATAAGGAAAGAAAATTTAGAAAACAAAATTACTAATATAAACTAGAAATGTTAAGGGAATGTCCTGTGGTTAGCTTACACAAAAAATAATTCCGAACTTGTTATTGTTCGATTTGGTGCAATATCCATTCTTCCCAAATAAGCTGTTATATTTTGTTGACCCATAACCATAGACCAAGTTTTTAGTTGTTGCTGTTCTTCTTCTTTCGATGGTGCCGAATTAATGCAATTTGTGCCCCACTCTGGACGGCAATAGGCCCAGGGTAGAGGATCACGAAATGATTCCACCAAATAATAGCCAATTATGGCACATATCGATTCATAATATGTACCCAATAAATAAACCATGAATGCTTGCCCAAAGCCAATACCTTGAAAATAAGTTTGTTAATTTAATGAAAAGCGTTATCACAAAAGCGGGGATTGAAGTGGAATGAGATATAAGTCATGCAAAAATATGGTATTAGTGTAGAGTTATATATTTTTGTACTTGGTGAAATAGGTGTTATAAGTCACATAAAGTGAGTAAGGTCTAAGAGTGGAATTTAGCAGAAATTACATGAGAACAAATATATAATCCATTAATTAAATCGATATGTCATTCCACACAGCCCAAATTTTTTAAATTCTACAAGTCTATGAACTTTTTTAAAATATTTGTAACAATGCAATTCTGTTCATTTAATTCACAAAAAATGAGAAATACAGGATTGTTAATACGTCCTGCATGTCGTACTCAAGTTAGATGACAACGATAATGTACCGATTTTTGTATGTTCGCTTCTTTAGTCTTTGCTTCAGACTAAGTTCATTCAGTTGTGATTTGGACAGTGTACTAGAAGTTTTTAATTGCAAAAATGGCTCCTCCAAAAGAGATTTCTATTGATGTGCAAATCTTAATAGTAAAATATAGCAGAGTTGAGCAAATTCGTTCCCAAAGTGGTTCAATCTATTTCGGTTCGCTCGGCAAAAGGAACCGGGTCATCCATTTAGTTCAATGGTTCGTTGGCTCGCGTTAGTTCTCTCCGTCAACGAAACGATTGGATCAAAAGGAACTGGTGGAGCCAAAAGGAACGACTGGAGCACATGGAACTTGATGAACGAAAGAACCGATCGATCTAGTACCGATCGTTCCCTTTGCAGATCGACCGAACTTTTGGATATGGAAACGAGAAAAAATCGAATGAACAATTCAAATTGTAGGCAATAACTATAACCAAACATCTATACCGAAAAAACTGCATTGTCATCCCAAAAATCTAAATAGGAGAGACGTATTTTTCATTCTGAAAGAGGTGGGTAAAAATCCGAAAAGAGGTGCCACAATGCTAGATGAAAAACTTGTAATAAGTTCAGGAATGGAACCATCCAAATATCAATGGATGGTTACGGTTTACACAGTCGAAAAACTTGGCTTGTAATTATCTCTAGAATAAAGGAAAGAGAAATGTTTGCTAAGAAAAATATCACAACTACGTTTGGGTAGTTCGTGAACGAACTAGGTCCAGTTCTTTAGTTTCTATATATATATATATAGCTTCTATAGTTAAGCTAAGGAACTAGTCCCTTTTAAAAAAAGAAACGTGAAAGATCGATCCGATCGGTGAACTAGATTGCCCAATTCTAATCACAACCCGGTAGAACAGACACTACCGACGCACAGGCAGCCCAAAAAGCCTAAAGTAAAAATCCAATAGAGAATGTCACAATGCTCGCCGAAAATCTTGCAAAAAGGTCAGGAACGGTTTTACATCCATGAACCATGGATCAAGAATGGTTCCACAATCAAATCACTCAAAAAAAATGAAAATGACATAAAGAGCCGTCTGGAAGCTAGATTTTTATACAGACGAAGTATAATATATTTGGAAATGACGGTAGAGAAGGCTAAGTTGAAAAGTTTGTTTTAACTGATTAATGCCTCTTTTCCTCACCAGAATCAGTATTAATGCCTCCTTTTGGAGACAAAGCTTGTCACTGATTTCCTAAGCGATTCAATGCTACTTGGAGACTCAAATTCAAGCATTAAGTACACTTCCATTTAATTTCAGCTGTCCAGATGGATGACATAAACTCCTTCGATCACTTCGTAGTAGAACTCTTTCCTATAGGGTCTCCTGGCAACATTCGCGTCGTATGCGGTACCTTACTAGTTGTTGTTCCACTCTACCTCTGTCGTAAAAGTCGGTTAGTACTTTTGTAATGGCGGTCTTTACGAAAGACTCCGATTCTTATGGATATTAGAGCCAGATTCGCAACCCTCAGTGGAGGATTTTACCTTCAGGACTACCGCCTGGTAGGAGACTGATGCCATAAGCAATGATTAGGGAAATTGAAGTAAATTGTCAACTACACATTGATGAACTGCTGTGGATTTTAAAATTCCAGAATAGATTACCCTTACTCAGAAGCCAATCAGTATGATAGCTGCTGGGTTTTCCGTTTGTGACACTAATACGAATAATGAATGAAGTGTTGAATGTAATCTTCTTCAATATGTAATGCTTGAAAAATCATGGCAGTTGTTCATGTTCAGTTCATGTATTAATCCAAATGTTAGTATCCAGATTAGAGTTACAGCTGGAAAATCCCATTGACAATGGAAATTCCAAAATATGTCATGCACTTAAGGCCAACAGTAGTTAAAGCTGAACTAGATACTAGTTTGCGATATTAAATAAAAAACGCCACTCTTCTAAACGTAAGCAAAGGCTAGGAATCTTTAGAAATGTTCTCCAAAAACTGGTTTGTCCTGACAAACAAAAGGCGGCTTTTCCAAAGAATGCACGTGGGGTTTTGTTTATTTTTCGTTTTGGATATTATCATGCCTTGTGTGTGTTTGCCACAAAACTGAAAAAATTAAAATTTACATCAGAGTATTTACATGGTGATGAAAAGGATTTTCCCAAATAATAAGAAAAAGACTACAGATTGTCGGTGTAAAGGCTGGTGAAGAGGCTGGAAGGATGAGTAAGATGGTGGAAGCAGTGAGCAAAGACATTGCTAAGCGTACGACAGGGAAAAATCCATTCTGACACAAAGTCAGAAACTGGCCAATATGAACTTGAAAACAAGAGCGAACAACAAAATGATACCCTGAAGGGTAAGCTCGACCTTCTCTTCACTTCCTCGGAAGCGGTGAAAAAGATTTGGTCTCCGGAAAAGCAGATAAATGGCAAACCCTCAAAAAAGAGCTTCCTGTTGGGTGATATAAAATGAAAGTGAATCCAGTCCGAAATTAAAGGAGACTGCCACGAGAATCTATCTACCACAAAAATTAGCGAGGGAGAAACATGCAGCTGTAAAATTTAAAAAGGATACCCATCCCAAGAAAATCTTGTAATCTATTAGATCTGATGGGGAAATTAATGTACACATCGGGCTAATTCAGAAGCCTTGGTCTCCATCGATCTGGACTGCTGCGATTCAGAGGGATTACATAATACATAAATTTTAATCCTAAACTAGTATTGAAGTGCTGATGAATCTAGTGGCAAAAATTGTCTCTGAGGAAGTTAGACATTCCTCAGTTATAAAAGTAAAATCTTCGCCAGACAGTTGGGCAGCGAGTTCGTGACAGAAAACATTCTCGAAGTCATTGGTCTGCAGAACAAGACATTGCTGATAAATAAGTGGAAGTCTTCCACAGAGAGAAAAAAGAAGACTATCCTTATGTTAGGCTTAGGCAGGACTTCAGTGGCAAGTCTGGCTAAGACTAAGGGTAAGGTGCACTATATGTTCAATGTTGTCTACTTCAAGAATAAGAAGGCAAGGATTGGAGAGGAGAAAGCCACAAAAAGCCACGAGAGAGAAACAAATAGCAGTAAAATTTGGGGCGCCGAGGATAAGATGACCGACTCCCAAGAAAATCGTTTGAGTAAGACGGCAATCTGATGGAAAAAATAATATACACATCGGGCTAATTCAGAAGTCCTGAACTATTACAAACATGGTCTCCATCGATCTGGACTGCTGCGATTCAAAGGGATTACATAATACTTTAATTTTAATCCTAAACTAGTATGGAAGTCCTGATAAATCTAGTGGCAAGAATTGACTCTGTGGAAGTTAAACTTTATTCAGTTACAAAAGCCAAGTCTTCGCCAGAAAGTTGGACGGCGAGTTCGCGACAGAAAACACGATCGAAGTCATTGGTCTGCAGAACAAGACACTGCTGGTGAAGTTAAAATTAAAGCCTCTGGATTAAAACATATAAATTACTAAGTTGTCCATGCAAATACAGGTTAATGACATAGAAAGAAAGACTTTGACGCACTACTTTAGTTATTCCCCTCAATTAATATTTACACTAACTAAATATTGATTAAATATTTTCTGACTCAATACTTGGCAGAACTTTCAACATCCAGTGATCTAATTGAACAAATTAAACAACAATTCAATTTATTTCATTTTTTATCATTGATTTTTCCCATAGGAAAGAAATAATAAATCATTGCAGTCTGTTTGTTAGTGGAAATAATAGAAAATTTGTCCGAAGATGCTGATGAAAGCATGTCACAAAGCAATTAAAATTGTCAACAATCTGAAAAGCTTTCATTTCCGTTCGAACTTAGAAATTTTGTTGTGGAATTGCGTTGACATTTTGTTGCAGTTGTTGTTATTTTGGATTTTAATTGGGTAAGTGTGACTAAACAATAAAAACAATCAATATGTATTACGAATTGTAAAATTGTCTACAAAAAATGGGAACTATCGATTCGATTGATTGCAGCAAAGACAATTTTTTTTCCGCCGACAAAGTTCATTCTCTGAACTTGAAATGTTGTAACAGAGTGTAAACGTTTGAAGCTAATTAAAATCGGTTTACTTAAACACAAAAACATAAAACCACAACAATAATTATGATATTGACTTACAACACCATCACGGTTAGAATTATAAATTATGAGAATTTTATGAAGACATTTCGAGAGGGGAAGAGGGGTAATATTGATCGATTAGGTGTTTGTAACAATGACGAATGTTGTAACCAAGCACACACAAAGTAGGTAGTTATGAACTTGTTGCATGCAACCTAAACAATAATTCAGCACTAACTGTGAAAATGTTATTCTTCAAGGTTTGTAGACTACGTGTATGTCGCGATTTTAAAATAGCTGCGTTGAATTCTTTTGTGGTTATAAAAAAGCGGATATAGCACCGATTTAATCCAATGGAAAAGGTGAATGAATGATTGCCATCTCAAAGCCAAATGTATTCGTTACATGTAGAACATTAAAATTTTATATTATTGATCAATAATGAGGTAAGACGGACTCATATTTTGGTACCCCTATGAATTCTGTATTTTGTACATTGCATGTACTTTACAAACTAAAATCCGATTCCTGGTAACCTACAAATTTTCCGTCCAAATTGACTGTTATGTGTATGCCATTTCTGGTCATACGAGTAAAATGTCATTGCTACAAAATTGTCAAAATATTCACTGCTTTTTGTAAATGTGTGATTGTACATAATGTACAGACAAAAACCTGGTCGAATGTGATGGAGAAAAATCGGGAGAAAAGGAGAGAGAAGAAACCGTTTTTGTAGAGATTAAAAAGGAAATTTGGTGGCAGATAAAGACAGCGTGTAGAGGATATGGAAGGAGATACCGCAGAACAAACAAGAGATGGTGGTATAGAGTGTATACCACCTAGCCAATATGAGGTCAAAAAAGCAATCAATCGGCTGAAGAATACTCAAGACAGGTGGTCAAATGCTGGTCAGGAGCATGCACCAGCTGATTATTACAATTTGGCTAGAAGAATGCATGCCCAATGATTGGAACTTCAGAGTCCTGTGTCCCGTATACAAAAAAAGGAGACAAGATGATATGTGCCAACTATAGAGAAATAATTCTCCTTCCCATCGCATATAAAGTGCTATCCAACGTGCTGTGTGAACGACTGGAGCCAATGGTCAATGGCATTATTGGACCATACCAATGCGGCTTCAAACCACCATTGACCTGATTTTCACTCTGCGCCAAATCCAGGAGAAGTCCCACGAAAAGCCGCATTTGACAGCCCTATCCGTTCAGAGGTGTTTAAAGCCATGTCTGCGCTTGGCATTCCTGTAAAATTAATTCGGATATGCAGGACAAATTTAACTGGCACAAGATCAGCAGTTAAAGTCGGAAAGGACCTCTCGGAGTCCTTTAATATCGAACGAGGATTCAGACAAGGTGACAGTTTGTCGAGTTATCTTTTTAACATCCTGCTGGAAAAGGTCATAAGGGAGGCAAATATGAACAGAAAACAACACGTGTTATGAGGGTCGCACATTGAGAGCGGCAGCAGCCACCTTTGAACAAATTGAGAAGGAGTCTGCCAAAGTGGGATGGTATTCACGCGCAGTAGGCTCGGACCAACTGTGGAACTTGAGAACTACAGCTTTGAGGTAGTCAAAGATTTTATATACCTTGGTCCCGCCATAAATAAAACTAATGATATCAGTTTTGAAATTCGAAGAAGGATAGTGTTGGCCAACAGATGCTACTATTGTCTAAGTAAGCAGTTTAGAAACAAGGCAACCTCCCGCCAGGCCAAACTTACACACTACAAGACTGTACTACCCGTGCTGTTATATCGATCTTGAGCATGGGAACTTACGCAAGCATAAGAGGCAACTCTTGGAGTGTTTGAGAGAAAAATTCTCCGAAAGATCTGTGGGCGATCTGCGACGGCGGTGAATTTTGCCGTTGAATGAACCATGAGTTGTACCATCTATTCTCGGACATCGTCATGTTTAGACGTATCGAGCTGCAGCGACTACCGATATTTGAGTGTATAATGACGTGTGTTAAGAATAATTTAAATCGGTTCAGATTTAGATTTAGCTTCCATATATATTTTCGTCCGATTTTATGTAAATGGTGCCCCAAAGGCCCTGCATTTTTAAACTCTCAATATTTGTCCGATTAGCGTGGGGTCTCTGGTTAACGGAAAGGCAAATTTAATATACACTAGTTCTCAAAAGTGGACGAATATTAATAACATAGTTCCGAAATAACAAATTATAACCTATGTTGGGATACAGTTTGAACAATATTGATACATTTTAAATGGAAGATAATTATAATTATAACCCAAAAAAATGTGTCCAAAAACCAGCAAAACGCAGATAGTGGATGAGCATTGGAAAAAATATATAATCTAGTGCATATTCGGCTCACTATTTCCCACAGATATAGTCTGAATTTGTGCACAAATTTGTTTTCGATCGATTCAGATAGTGTTATTGATTACATTTATAATATTTACGATCAGGGTGTTAGAAATTTTTTATTATTATTGTTATAACGTGCATTACCAAACCATTACCAAAAAAAACTACATTTGAAAACGGACAAAAACTCACATAAAATACAATTCTGCCGATGATGTTGGTTTAGCACTTTGCAATGCCGCCGCCGATGTTGAAACATTATTTAAACTCATCAAAACCGATGAGTTCGTCACTAGCTTACTCGAAATATTATCAGCAGAATTGTATAGGAAATCGGCGGTATTTTTCTCATTGGATGCTACACAAACAGCATTCCATGAATCGTCACACTGTGACCAAGGCAATGGTGAACGAAATGAATCGAATAGGTAACGGGTGGTCATGCCCATGATGGCAACATAATATGTGGTGACCATTGATATTGAGACAACTTGGCCAATACCAATGCCTACGGATGATAATGAAATGGAATTCAGGACAAATTACAAATGAGTGACATTAAATAAATTTTCCGATTTCTCTTACCTCTCATGGCTGGACACAAATCGAATACCTTCACCGAACCACGACTTGAAAATTGTCCAATAATCATTTCCAAATAATATATGGGTTTACCAATAAGAAACAATACCACCAAATAGGGTATTAAAAATGCTCCACCACCATTGTCGAGGGCGGTAAATGGAAAACGCCAAACATTGCCTAAACCCACAGACATGGCTATGCAGGACATAAGAAATTCGACACCTTTACCCCATTGTTCACGTTCTTTGACAGGTTTGCCGGGTTTGGGAGGGGGCTAGAATGAAGGATATCAGGAATATATGTAATTTGTTCTGGATTTAACTACTTACCTCACTATTTGAATGATTATTTAAATCCTGTGATTTATTCACACCATCATCTCCTATAAAGGCGGGATTTTCATGCGGGGTCACCATTTTGAATGATTATAAATTTGAAGTCAATCTGAAAAAGATAAGAATATAAGAAATCTATTATGTATCAATAAATAATATGAATTAAAATGCCCACAAATTAAAACTTGAATCTCTGAATACATTTTAGCTCTGATAGTAATTATAATCTTTGAATACATTTTAGCTCTGATAGTAATTATAATACTGGCTAAGATAATCAGAATACCCAGAATTTAATTAGCACCTCATAATGCACAAATAAGTCAACTTTGTTGGCTAACAAGTAAAAAGGAAGTTAGCTAAATTTAAAAAAACTATTTAAAATATCTCAAAATATGGCGCTATTTCCTGTATAGGCATAGATAAGCCTCCAACACCACAGAATAAAAAAATTACAGCCACTTCGGCGTGTAAACGCAGGAAAACCTTCAAAATATCGAAAATGGGGTGGTACCGCTACACAATATCAAACAAATAAATCTCTCGTGTTAAAATGTGTAGTACCTAAAAAACTAAAATCGAGAGCTATCCTCATATGTGAAACAATGCTCCAGTGACTTTGGGAGATGCAAAGGCGATAGAGGTGACAAAGTACGAAAATCCTTAGTTGTGGACTGTCTGTCGTGGTTAAAAGAAACTGAAATATGAAGATTCGGCAAGTGATTATATACTAGACTTTGGAGTTTCTTAAGACACAAATGTAGAAATCGGATCAGAATTCGTGATTTGATGAATGCAGGTCAGACTTCGGTTCACTAAACACCCTTTACTCCTCAAGGAGTTAATCGAAAGAGAAGATTGTTTATATATTGTCTCATGTTGAAAAGCACCTAGGTTATTATACATACTTCTAGCCTGGGCAAACCTAAACGTCAGTACGACTACACAGAATAAAATAATTCTTATATTATATGTACAGAGCTTGGAAAATGTTGCCAATGTCCTGATTTCTCCATTTTATGAATGCCATTCATAAAACTTTAAATATTGGTTTCTTGTAGAAAGAGAGGTTTCTGTGGCATAGAAACTATTTTTCGTTTTGATTTTTTCTATTTTGATTTGATGTTTTCTTCATTGCTTTGTCTTTTATCGATTTTTCTTACATACTTACTTACATGTTCTTGTCATTATTACAATCCTATGCAATGTTAATCTTTCGTACCAACACCTTTTTGTTATATTGTATTTGACATTTATATCGAAATAATTTGGAAAATACACATGCGAATTTTATAATCCCAATGCAGAGGTCGGTAACAGTGTATGAAACAATGAAATGCAAAACTATTCACAATCGAGTGAGTGAAGAGACCGCGGTTATAAACAAGAGAAATAGTAGATAAACAAACGGTTGAAAACTAACAACCACTAAGTGAGAGAGAAACAGATACAAAACAAAACTCTGCCGAACAATGAATGGTGTTGTTTTTTTTTTTTTTGGGTAGAATGTGTTTTTTTTTTCAAAAAAGAGATAGAGGAAAACTGAGCGTTAATAGTGGTAAAGTATACCAAAGTATGAAAATATTTCAAATATTAATGTAATGTTTACATTCTTTTGTAAAAAATAGTGGCTTTCTCATGATTAAAGGCATTTTTATTTGCATTCTAAACGAGGTATATGTATAACATGAAACAAATTAACTATGAATGAAGTTATGAAAATATTCATTAACATTTGTTTCTGTGTAGGGAAGGAAGATTGGGGCACATTCGGTACTTTTTTAGAGCTCTATATATCATTACTTTTTCAACAGATAAAAACAATTTTATGGATAGTTATTTGCAAAAATGATACAGGCCACAATTATGGACCAATTTTCACGAAATTTTGCATGTAGGATTGGTTCTGCCCAATGAAGACCCCTATTGTTTTTGGTAAAGATCGGTTAATATTTAGGGGATGAAATGGACCAAATATTTAATTTTTGTCGGTTTTTCTGGTCACTCCTAAGGCCGCAATTATGGCCCGAACATTGTGAAATTTTACATGGATAAGAGGATCGGGCCGAAGAAAAAGCATGCCTGTTTTGATAAAATTCGGCAAATATTTAGCGGGCTAAATGGACCCAGACTTTTGTGTGCAAAATGACATAGACCCGAGAAGTTGACAGGTTGATCTGTGGGAGTTACACTTAAATATTTACAGGTGCTCACGTATTCAGATATTATTTAGTAACCCATTACCACACTAGAGGGCGAAAATATCGTGCTGATCGGTCTGAAATTTTCCATACCTGGATCGGTCAAAGACAACGCCTATAATTTTCGGTGATGATCAGATAATAATTTTGGGATGAAGTGGACACTTTTCGGTAAATTTTTTGTGTTTTGCGAGTAGATGTATACGCCACAATTATAAGCCGAACATCACAACACAACCCACGGTGAAGAGAATGTGGACAAGTAATTAGAAGGGCTGTACTGAATATAAGTAATATTCGGAAAATATGTCAGTGTAATCATGGACAGAACTTTAGAGTTCCGTGGTAGTTGTGTGGGGTATAGAATCGTCGGCCCCGTCCGACTATACTGCTTCGCTCATTTTAATTTTTATCTTTCAATATTCCAAAGACATATTATTTTTATGTTTTTTTATAAGGATGCCAACAGTGCACATCATTTATTATATTGTCCAACCGAAACAAATCGTTATCCCATTTTCCCAATACATATTTTAAAAAATTGTTTTCCATTTTCTACCAGAAAAGAACTTTCGATAGGTTCATGACTCATATGAAAGTATTTTCAGAGTTTGCAATCTGGATTTTGTTTTACTCAGTGGAAGATAATTTGTAATGAAATAGTGTTCCGCCCCCATTTAAAAGATTTTAAACGGGTTTCGATGTTTTTAAGATTTTGGACACGTTTTTGAATCGCAAACTAACTATAATTTGACATTATGGGTTCTGATTAGGAAATATTCGAATCAAAAATTTTCACTGTCGGTCCATCTTTTGGTATAATTCATATATAGACAAAAAGTTCTATATACTCTCAGATATTTTGATTTGAAGTATTTGACAAGTTGTTGCAAAACCTTACCTTACTTAACTTAGTTTTTTTCTTTTTTGAGGTGTAATCAATTTATGGCTATTGTTCCACGCTTCGCAATATAAATTCCTATCCTCTTAATTTTGCACGTAGCCCTTTTCAAATCAAATAATATAATCGCAATATGCTCATAAACTCCAATGCCATCATAAAGATTTTTCTATGAAATTGCTGTCATTTTTTTTTTTTAATTTTTATTGGAATCATTTATTTTCTAAATAATCTTATCAATTTATAAGAGTATCATAGGGTTTGTAAATAACACAATTGAAAAAAGTGGGTTAAGTTCGGTTGAGTCGAATAGTAGAAAACCTGAATGCTACATTTATATCCCAAAAAATGATAATTCTCTAGAATGGTTTAAAGACAAGATTAAAAATATAAGAGTGATTTTGAATATGGTAACTTTTTCCAAAATTAGTAGACAATTTATTAATAGCGTTTCAAAAATTTTGTCTGTATATGTAATTTTTAGTATGATCTTCCTAGTCAACAAAAATGAGGTTTACGTTTTTTCCATTTTTAGACATTCATATATGCGCCGCTCAAATGTACCGTGATTTTAATATTCCTTTATAATCTGAATTCAAAATCCTTTGAAACTAAAATTTAAGATTTTTAAAAAGTGGACTTAACCTGAACGCCTCAATGTTTTCTCTTATAGTCTTAGTCATCTTATACTATTATTGGGTGTATAAGTAACTTTTTATTTTCTTCTTTTTCCACTCAAAAGGTAAACAAACTATTATAACACAACACACTTCAAAATTTAATTGCACTAATTATATTTCATTGATAAATAAGAAGAAAAAATCCGTTTAAATTTCCCCGACAATTTGTTCTGAGTTGAGCTCATTTTGCTCGTTCATATCATAATTGTTGCTAAATTGTCACATCAAGTGATCGGTCATAAACCTATAATTTAGAAAATATTGTTTTATTGTTGTTGTTGATGTTGTCATGAGAAGATTTAGATAAAGGCAGGTGTAAGGTTGTTGTTTCGTCTGTTCAGATGTCGTTATATTTGGTTAACAAACCGGCACGTGAGGTGTTTTGCGAGTGGAATTATTTGTTTTCCTCTAATCTGATAGTTCTTCTCACTCAGTATCTAATTAGAAAATTTTGTCATTAAACTTTATAAAGTAATGTAAATATTTATAAGCATGACAATTATAATGTGTTATTAGTACCGGTATTGTATGTTATTAAATGTTTTAATTGTGTGACATACTTTTTTTGAAAAGAGATTTTATCTGGCCTTGGATTTAATTTGAGCATTTAAATGTAATTTTTATAAATATTTAATTTTTGTCTGTCACGAAGTCATTTATCCTCTTAAACCCCGAAATGCCTACATATAGGCACATCGCTTGACCATCAAATTTATTTAAAAGAGGCTATAGCTTCAAATGGGCTTTTGAGCAATGAAGTTTTTCACACACAAAGAAAACATAATGCCAAATTACAGATAAATCGCATGAAAAATGCATCTGGGACTATAAAATTATATTTAAAAATGTTTTGCGAAGAAGTTTTTTACGGAATTAGAATCCCAAATAACAAATTACTACCACTTCGTTTGTAAAATGCGCATAGGACAATTAAAATACCTAAAACGCGCATGTTATATATATGATGGCTATTGCATATATGAACGGCATACAGAAACATGGACCCATACATCCCATTTTCAATAGCAAACATCCTAGGAGTTCTTTGATAACTGACGGACGGGCGAATTTTAGAATTTATTTCTGATCAAGAAAAAGGTACACTTTTTTTGGTCTCCGGTGAATATAAAAATATCTAAAATGGGCGAGATATTATGAGAAAACATGGATCAATGATAATAAAGAGAACTTTAAAGGGCACAAATTAACTTCGATTGCTACCTAGTATGATGACGGCATCAGATCACAATTATAAAAAAAAAAATATATATAGTGACGAAACATGTTGACTCTTTAGACCA